TTTGTCGGGGAACATTAGACTAGGGTTTTCCTTTCCTGCTCGTTCTATGCAGGATTTAGTCCACCAAAATTATAACGTTCATTGATCGTTTCACTTTTTTTTGCTTTATAGTACTGCGTTTGTGTGCATTGGCCAAAATGACTTTGGAGAGTTTGAATCCAATGATCGCATTTCAAATCTCTAGTAAAGATGACTCTGGAGCCAATTCTGTTGAATATCAACATGGGCCAAGGCTGAATACTTTGGTCCATGAAGTTGAGACCATGTACACTTTTCCTGAAATAACATGGCCGGGGGAACGTTAGACTGGAACTCTGATGATGACAGGTTCCTTCTTGCTCTAAGCAGAAAATTACAATCCAGATGTACATGGACCTTTTCTGATTTTTGTTTGATACCGTGCTGATTTTGTGTGCCTTGCCCAAACCAACTCAGTTGGGAGACATTGAATTTTCTGATCCGATTTGAAATCTCGACAGAACCTACAAAGACTTTCAGGTTCCGAACAATTGTAACGCTGACGAGGTACCCAATTCATCAGAAGATGACTGTGGGCCAAGACTGAAACGTGTGCTTCATGAAGTTAAGCCCATGTGCTCACTCGCTGAAATATCATGACTGGGGTATGGTTAGACTTGATTTCTGATTGTGGCAACTTCCTCCTTGCTCTAGGTAGAATGTAGCAGAGAAATGTCTTATCAAGAGAGTTTTATACAAATTTGTCACTCAGAACGGAAGCGTTTGCCGAGTTGTCTGCCGAAATAGCTCAGTTGGGAGAGCGTTAGACTGAAGATCTAAAGGTCCCTGGTTCAATCCCGGGTTTCGGCATAAGGTTTGGTATTTTGATTACTACTGCAGAGTCTCTGACCTTTGGGTTAGTTATGGCATTCCAGAGGCGGCAATTTCTGCTCCGCCAGTATATCGCAGTAATCTGCTCGGACAATCTAACGAAGTCATGTAGCCTGGTTCCCACTTTGGACTTTGAATCCAGTGATCCGAGTTCAAATCTCGGTGGAACCTGCAATGCGTTTGTTGAGATTTCTGTATAAATGCAGACCAGTGGTCCAATCTGAAATAAGAGTGCACCAAGAAATTTTTAACATCCCATGCAACTGAAAATGTGGGTATGGTACAATATCTTTGCAAGAAGAAGATTGGTGAAATATCATTTGTCGGGGAACATTAGACTAGGGTTTTCCTTTCCTGCTCGTTCTATGCAGGATTTAGTCCACCAAAATTATAACGTTCATTGATCGTTTCACTTTTTTTTGCTTTATAGTACTGCGTTTGTGTGCATTGGCCAAAATGACTTTGGAGAGTTTGAATCCAATGATCGCATTTCAAATCTCTAGTAAAGATGACTCTGGAGCCAATTCTGTTGAATATCAACATGGGCCAAGGCTGAATACTTTGGTCCATGAAGTTGAGACCATGTACACTTTTCCTGAAATAACATGGCTGGGGGAACGTTAGACTGGAACTCTGATGATGACAGGTTCCTTCTTGCTCTAAGCAGAAAATTACAATCCAGATGTACATGGACCTTTTCTGATTTTTGTTTGATACCGTGCTGATTTTGTGTGCCTTGCCCAAAACAACTCAGTTGGGAGACATTGAATTTTCTGATCCGATTTGAAATCTCGACAGAACCTACAAAGACTTTCAGGTTCCGAACAATTGTAACGCTGACGAGGTACCCAATTCATCAGAAGATGACTGTGGGCCAAGACTGAAACGTGTGCTTCATGAAGTTAAGCCCATGTGCTCACTCGCTGAAATATCATGACTGGGGTATGGTTAGACTTGATTTCTGATTGTGGCAACTTCCTCCTTGCTCTAGGTAGAATGTAGCAGAGAAATGTCTTATCAAGAGAGTTTTATACAAATTTGTCACTCAGAACGGAAGCGTTTGCCGAGTTGTCTGCCGAAATAGCTCAGTTGGGAGAGCGTTAGACTGAAGATCTAAAGGTCCCTGGTTCAATCCCGGGTTTCGGCATTAGGTTTGGTATTTTGATTACTACTGCATAGTCTCTGACCTTTGGGTTAGTTATGGCATTCCAGAGGCGGCAAATTCTGCTCGGCCAGTATACGGCACTAATCGTTCCGGACAATCTAAGGGTCATGTAGCCTGGTTCCAGGCACTTTGGACTTTGAATCCAGTGATCCGAGTTCAAATCTCGGTGGAACCTGCAATGTGAAATAATCAGAAATAAGAGTGCACCAAGAAATTTTTAACATCCCATGCAACTGAAAATGTGGGTATGGTACAATATCTTTGCAAGAAGAAGATTGGTGAAATATCATTTGTCGGGGAACATTAGACTAGGGTTTTCCTTTCCTGCTCGTTCTATGCAGGATTTAGTCCACCAAAATTATAACGTTCATTGATCGTTTCACTTTTTTTGCTTTATAGTACTGCGTTTGTGTGCATTGGCCAAAATGACTTTGGAGAGTTTGAATCCAATGATCGCATTTCAAATCTCTAGTAAAGATGACTCTGGAGCCAATTCTGTTGAATATCAACATGGGCCAAGGCTGAATACTTTGGTCCATGAAGTTGAGACCATGTACACTTTTCCTGAAATAACATGGCTGGGGGAACGTTAGACTGGAACTCTGATGATCTGAAACGTCTTATCAAGAGAGTTTTATACAAATTTGTCACTCAGAACGGAAGCGTTTGCAGAGTTGTCTGCCGAAATAGCTCAGTTGGGAGAGTGTTAGACTGAAGATCTAAAGGTCCCTGGTTCAATCCCGGGTTTCGGCATAAGGATTGGTTTTTTGATTACTACTGCATAGTCTCTGACCTTTGGGTTAGTTATGGCATTCCAGAGGCGGCAAATTCTGCTCGGCCAGTATAAGGCACTAATCGGCTCGGACAATCTAAGGAGGTCATGTAGCCTGGTTCCCACTTTGGATTTTGAATCCAGTGATCCGAGTTCAAATCTCGGTGGAACCTGCAATGCGTTTGTTGAGATTTCTGTATAAATGCAGACCAGTGGTCCAATCTGAAATAAGAGTGCACCAAGAAATTTTTAACATCCCATGCAACTGAAAATGTGGGTATGGTACAATATCTTTGCAAGAAGAAGATTGGTGAAATATCATTTGTCGGGGAACATTAGACTAGGGTTTTCCTTTCCTGCTCGTTCTATGCAGGATTTAGTCCACCAAAATTATAACGTTCATTGATCGTTTCACTTTTTTTTGCTTTATAGTACTGCGTTTGTGTGCATTGGCCAAAATGACTTTGGAGAGTTTGAATCCAATGATCGCATTTCAAATCTCTAGTAAAGATGACTCTGGAGCCAATTCTGTTGAATATCAACATGGGCCAAGGCTGAATACTTTGGTCCATGAAGTTGAGACCATGTACACTTTTCCTGAAATAACATGGCCGGGGGAACGTTAGACTGGAACTCTGATGATGACAGGTTCCTTCTTGCTCTAAGCAGAAAATTACAATCCAGATGTACATGGACCTTTTCTGATTTTTTTTAATACCGTGCTGATTTTGTGTGCCTTGCCCAAACCAACTCAGTTGGGAGACATTGAATTTTCTGATCCGATTTGAAATCTCGACAGAACCTACAAAGACTTTCAGGTTCCGAACAATTGTAACGCTGACGAGGTACCCAATTCATCAGAAGATGACTGTGGCCCCGCAAACTGAAACGCGGTGCTTCATGAAGTTAAGCCCATGTGCTCACTCGCTGAAATATCATGACTGGGGTATGGTTAGACTTGATTTCTGATTGTGGCAACTTCCTCCTTGCTCTAGGTAGAATGTAGCAGAGAAATGTCTTATCAAGAGAGTTTTATACAAATTTGTCACTCAGAACGGAAGCGTTTGCCGAGTTGTCTGCCGAAATAGCTCAGTTGGGAGAGCGTTAGACTGAAGATCTAAAGGTCCCTGGTTCAATCCCGGGTTTCAGCATAAGGGTTGGTATTTTGATTACTACTGCATAGTCTCTGACCTTTGGGTTAGTTATGGCATTCCGAGGCGGCAATTTCTGCTCCGCCAGTATATCGCACTAATCTGCTCGGACAATCTAAGGAGGTCATGTAGCCTGGTTCGGTGTAATGGTGCACTTTGGACTTTGAATCCAGTGATCCGAGTTCAAATCTCGGTGGAACCTGCAAGCGTTTGTTGAAATTTCTGTATAAATGCAGACCAGTGGCAATCTGAAATAAGAGTGCACCAAGAAATTTTTAACATCCCATGCAACTGAAAATGTGGGTATGGTACAATATCTTTGCAAGAAGAAGATTGGTGAAATATCATTTGTGCGGGGAACATTAGACTAGGGTTTTTCCTTTCCTGCTCGTTCTATGCAGGATTTAGTCCAACAAAATTATAACGTTCATTGATCGTTTCACTTTTTTTGCTTTATAGTACTGCGTTTGTGTGCATTGGCCAAAATGACTTTGGAGAGTTTGAATCCAATGATCGCATTTCAAATCTCTAGTAAAGATGACTCTGAGCGCCAATTCTGTTGAATATCAACATGGGCCAAGGCTGAATACTTTGGTCCATGAAGTTGAGACCATGTACACTTTTCCTGAAATAACATGGCTGGGGGAACGTTAGACTGGAACTCTGATGATGACAGGTTCCTTCTTGCTCTAAGCAGAAAATTACAATCCAGATGTACATGGACCTTTTCTGATTTTTGTTTGATACCGTGCTGATTTTGTGTGCCTTGCCCAAACCAACTCAGTTGGGAGACATTGAATTTTCTGATCCGATTTGAAATCTCGACAGAACCTACAAAGACTTTCAGGTTCCGAACAATTGTAACGCTGACGAGGTACCCAATTCATCAGAAGATGACTGTGGGCCAAGACTGAAACGTGTGCTTCATGAAGTTAAGCCCATGTGCTCACTCGCTGAAATATCATGACTGGGGTATGGTTAGACTTGATTTCTGATTGTGGCAACTTCCTCCTTGCTAAAAAAAAACTTGTCATCTAGGTAGAATGTAACAAAAAAATTTTAAATTGAAATAGCTCAGTTGGGAGAGCGTTAGACTGAAGATCTAAAGGTCCCTGGTTTAAATCCGGGTTTCCGCATTAGGTTTGGTATTTTGATTACTACTGCATAGTCTCTGACCTTTGGGTTAGTTATGGCATTCCAGAGGCGGCAATTTCTGCTCCGCCAGTATATGCGCACTAATGCTGCTCGGACAATCTAACGAAGTCATGTAGCCTGGTTCCCACTTTGGACTTTGAATCCAGTGATCCGAGTTCAAATCTCGGTGGAACCTGCAATGTGAAATAATCAGAAATAAGAGTGCACCAAGAAATTTTTAACATCCCATGCAACTGAAAATGTGGGTATGGTACAATATCTTTGCAAGAAGAAGATTGGTGAAATATCATTTGTCGGGGAACATTAGACTAGGGTTTTCCTTTCCTGCTCGTTCTATGCAGGATTTAGTCCACCAAAATTATAACGTTCATTGATCGTTTCACTTTTTTTTGCTTTATAGTACTGCGTTTGTGTGCATTGGCCAAAATGACTTTGGAGAGTTTGAATCCAATGATCGCATTTCAAATCTCTAGTAAAGATGACTCTGGAGCCAATTCTGTTGAATATCAACATGGGCCAAGGCTGAATACTTTGGTCCATGAAGTTGAGACCATGTACACTTTTCCTGAAATAACATGGCTGGGGGAACGTTAGACTGGAACTCTGATGATGACAGGTTCCTTCTTGCTCTAAGCAGAAAATTACAATCCAGATGTACATGGACCTTTTCTGATTTTTGTTTGATACCGTGCTGATTTTGTGTGCCTTGCCCAAAACAACTCAGTTGGGAGACATTGAATTTTCTGATCCGATTTGAAATCTCGACAGAACCTACAAAGACTTTCAGGTTCCGAACAATTGTAACGCTGACGAGGTACCCAATTCATCAGAAGATGACTGTGGGCCAAGACTGAAACGTGTGCTTCATGAAGTTAAGCCCATGTGCTCACTCGCTGAAATATCATGACTGGGGTGTGGTTAGACTTGATTTCTGATTGTGGCAACTTCCTCCTTGCTCTAGGTAGGATGTAGCAGAGAAATGTCTTATCAAGAGAGTTTTATACAAATTTGTCACTCAGAACGGAAGCGTTTGCCGAGTTGTCTGCCGAAATAGCTCAGTTGGGAGAGCGTTAGACTGAAGATCTGAAGGTCCTTGGTTCAATCCCGGGTTTCGGCATTAGGTTTGGTATTTTGATTACTACTGCATAGTCTCTGACCTTTGGGTTAGTTATGGCATTCCAGAGGCGGCAAATTCTGCTCGCCAGTATACGGCACTAATCCGTTCCGGACAATCTAAGGAGGTCATGTAGCCTGGTTCCATGGTTAATGGTTGCACTTTGGACTTTGAATCCAGTGATCCGAGTTCAAATCTCGGTGGAACCTGCAATGTGTTTGTTGAGATTTCTGTATAAATGCAGACCAGTGGTCCTGAATACTTTGGTCCATGAAGTTGAGACCATGTACACTTTTCCTGAAATAACATGGCTGGGGGAACGTTAGACTGGAACTCTGATGATGACAGGTTCCTTCTTGCTCTAAGCAGAAAATTACAATCCAGATGTACATGGACCTTTTCTGATTTTTGTTTGATACCGTGCTGATTTTGTGTGCCTTGCCCAAAACAACTCAGTTGGGAGACATTGAATTTTCTGATCCGATTTGAAATCTCGACAGAACCTACAAAGACTTTCAGGTTCCGAACAATTGTAGCGCTGACGGGTACCCAATTCATCAGAAGATGACTGTGGGCCAAGACTTGAAACGTGTGCTTCATGAAGTTAAGCCCATGTGCTCACTCCGCTGAAATATCATGACTGGGGTATGGTTAGACTTGATTTCTGAAACGTTTAAAAATTGTGGCAACTTCCTCCTTGCTCTAGGTAGAATGTAAAAAAAAAATTTTTTATAAAAGGGTTTTTATAAATTTTTTCCCCCAAAGGGGGGGGGGGGGGGGGGGGGGGGCGAAATAGCTCAGTTGGGAGAGCGTTAGACTGAAGATCTAAAGGTCCCTGGTTTATTCCCGGGTTTCGGCATAAGGATTGGTATTTTGATTACTACTGCATAGTCTCTGACCTTTGGGTTAGTTATGGCATTCCAGAGGCGGCAAATTCTGCTCGGCCAGTATAAGGCACTAATCGGCTCGGACAATCTAAGGAGGTCATGTAGCCTGGTTCCATGGTGTAATGGATAGCACTTTGGACTTTGAATCCAGTGATCCGAGTTCAAATCTCGGTGGAACCTGCAATGCGAAATAATCTGAAATAAGAGTGCACCAAGAAAATTATAACGTTCATTGATCGTTTCACTTTTTTTTGCTTTATAGTACTGCGTTTGTGTGCATTGGCCAAAATGACTTTGGAGAGTTTGAATCCAATGATCGCATTTCAAATCTCTAGTAAAGATGACTCTGGAGCCAATTCTGTTGAATATCAACATGGGCCAAGGCTGAATACTTTGGTCCATGAAGTTGAGACCATGTACACTTTTCCTGAAATAACATGGCCGGGGGAACGTTAGACTGGAACTCTGATGATGACAGGTTCCTTCTTGCTCTAAGCAGAAAATTACAATCCAGATGTACATGGACCTTTTCTGATTTTTGTTTGATACCGTGCTGATTTTGTGTGCCTTGCCCAAACCAACTCAGTTGGGAGACATTGAATTTTCTGATCCGATTTGAAATCTCGACAGAACCTACAAAGACTTTCAGGTTCCGAACAATTGTAACGCTGACGAGGTACCCAATTCATCAGAAGATGACTGTGGGCCAAGACTGAAACGTGTGCTTCATGAAGTTAAGCCCATGTGCTCACTCGCTGAAATATCATGACTGGGGTATGGTTAGACTTGATTTCTGATTGTGGCAACTTCCTCCTTGCTCTAGGTAGAATGTAGCAGAGAAATGTCTTATCAAGAGAGTTTTATACAAATTTGTCACTCAGAACGGAAGCGTTTGCCGAGTTGTCTGCCGAAATAGCTCAGTTGGGAGAGCGTTAGACTGAAGATCTAAAGGTCCCTGGTTCAATCCCGGGTTTCAGCATAAGGGTTGGTATTTTGATTACTACTGCATAGTCTCTGACCTTTGGGTTAGTTATGGCATTCCAGAGGCGGCAAATTCTGCTCGGCCAGTATAAGGCACTAATCGGCTCGGACAATCTAAGGAGGTCATGTAGCCTGGTTCCATGGTGTAATGGTTAGCACTTTGGACTTTGAATCCAGTGATCCGAGTTCAAATCTCGGTGGAACCTGCAATGTGAAATAATCAGAAATAAGAGTGCACCAAGAAATTTTTAACATCCCATGCAACTGAAAATGTGGGTATGGTACAATATCTTTGCAAGAAGAAGATTGGTGAAATATCATTTGTCGGGGAACATTAGACTAGGGTTTTCCTTTCCTGCTCGTTCTATGCAGGATTTAGTCCACCAAAATTATAACGTTCATTGATCGTTTCACTTTTTTTTGCTTTATAGTACTGCGTTTGTGTGGATCGGCAAAATGACTTTGGAGAGTTTGAATCCAATGATCGCATTTCAAATTTCTAGTAAAGATGACTCTGGAGCCAATTCTGTTGAATATCAACATGGGCCAAGGCTGAATACTTTGGTCCATGAAGTTGAGACCATGTACACTTTTCCTGAAATAACATGGAGCTGGGGGAACGTTAGACTAGAACTCTGATGATGACAGGTTCCTTCTTGCTCTAAGCAGAAAATTACAATCCAGATGTACATGGACCTTTTCTGATTTTTGTTTGATACCGTGCTGATTTTGTGTGCCTTGCCCAAACCAACTCAGTTGGGAGACATTGAATTTTCTGATCCGATTTGAAATCTCGACAGAACCTACAAAGACTTTCAGGTTCCGAACAATTGTAATGCCTGACGAGGTACCCAATTCATCAGAAGATGACTGTGGGCCAAGACTGAAACACGTGTGCTTCATGAAGTTAAGCCCATGTGCTCACTCGCTGAAATATCATGACTGGGGTATGGTTAGACTTGATTTCTGATTGTGGCAACTTCCTCCTTGCTCTAGGTAGGATGTAGCAGAGAAATTTCTTATCAAGAGAGTTTTATACAAATTTGTCACTCAGAACAGAAGCATTTGCGGAGTTGTCTGCCGAAATAGCTCAGTTGGGAGAGCGTTAGACTGAAGATCTAAAGGTCCCTGGTTTGGTATTTTGATTACTACTGCAGAGTCTCTGACCTTTGGGTTAGTTATGGCATTCCAGAGGCGGCAATTTCTGCTCCGCCAGTATATCGCAGTAATCTGCTCGGACAATCTAACGAAGTCATGTAGCCTGGTTCCCACTTTGGACTTTGAATCCAGTGATCCGAGTTCAAATCTCGGTGGAACCTGCAATGCGTTTGTTGAGATTTCTGTATAAATGCAGACCAGTGGTCCAATCTGAAATAAGAGTGCACCAAGAAATTTTTAACATCCCATGCAACTGAAAATGTGGGTATGGTACAATATCTTTGCAAGAAGAAGATTGGTGAAATAACATTTTGGCGGGGAACATTAGACTAGGGTTTTCCTTTCCTGCTCGTTCTATGCAGGATTTAGTCCACCAAAATTATAACGTTCATTGATCGTTTCACTTTTTTTTGCTTTATAGTACTGCGTTTGTGTGCATTGGCCAAAATGACTTTGGAGAGTTTGAATCCAATGATCGCATTTCAAATCTCTAGTAAAGATGACTCTGGAGCCAATTCTGTTGAATATCAACATGGGCCAAGGCTGAATACTTTGGTCCATGAAGTTGAGACCATGTACACTTTTCCTGAAATAACATGGCTGGGGGAACGTTAGACTGGAACTCTGATGATGACAGGTTCCTTCTTGCTCTAAGCAGAAAATTACAATCCAGATGTACATGGACCTTTTCTGATTTTTGTTTGATACCGTGCTGATTTTGTGTGCCTTGCCCAAACCAACTCAGTTGGGAGACATTGAATTTTCTGATCCGATTTGAAATCTCGACAGAACCTACAAAGACTTTCAGGTTCCGAACAATTGTAACGCTGACGAGGTACCC